CGATTCGGTGCACGTACTGGAGCAAGCGGCCCCAGTGGCCCGCCCTCATCTGGTGCACCGATACGGCGTCCTCCTGGTCCTCGCCGGAGATAGAAAGCGGCGGCGTGCTCTGTGACTCGGACCAGTTGTCAAGCCATTGATGCGAGGCCACACAATGAGCCGCCCTGGTCAGCGAGCAGGCGTTTGAGGGCAGGGTGGCCGCTAGTTTCGCCAGGTCGTCCGCGCTCATATTCCCCTTGATACCAAAGTGGGCAGGAAGTGGCAAGGTCTTCCATACCTATTACCTATCTCCACACTGAGGATTAAGGCCTCACCTGGGCGGCCGCTCCTCCGCCAAGTAGACTCAGAGCGGCTCGCCAGTTCGAGCATGCACCACGCGATGACCAAGGCAGGGACGTCTCGTCCCGAAACCTCTCCAGAGACGCTCACAGAGCGAATCTGCTGCTAGATTAGCCAGAGGGCTGTTCACAGGCCCTGTGTCCCCACCACAGTCCACACACTGTCAGATAAGGTTAAGCTTCGTAATCATTACGGAGCGAGCGAAGCGAGTGTAGTCTTTCCTTAGATTAACAGAAATTTCTGAGTATGAGCGGCCGGCCGTGCGGACGCTTTTGCGAGGCTTATATCTCAGCAACCACTTGACCGATTTGCATGCGGTAATTTTTGTAGGGTAGCTTCATTCCTTCTACCAAGTATTGGACTATTCCGATGCATGTGGGTGACCCCTTATGCACGCGCCACGTGCAAAACGAAGAGGTGTCAGTTTTGTAATTGTTGCAATATATCGGTAACTACTTGGCCGATTGCGCTGAAAGTTGGCATGTAGGTAGGCACCCACTAGGCACTGCATATTCATGTGCCAGAGTTGGGGTGGTGCAGCATGTGCGCATGTGAGGGGTCGTTTCCAGATCTCAAAAACGGCTGGACCGATTGCGCTCAAATTTGGTACACAGTTAGGGACCGGTTAGTAGGGTGCCGTGCACAAGTCAGTTGGGACCCATTTTGCATGTGCGCACGTGCAGGGTGCCACTTCCAGATCTCAAGAACGGCTGGGCCGATTGTGCCCAAATTTGCCACATCGCTAGAGACTGGTTAGCAGGTTGCCGTGCACAAGTCAGTTGGAGGTACCCCCTCACAATTTCGCACGTGAAAGGCCCACCCTCTCGCTTGCTCCGTTAGTCGCCCCAAAAGGCATTATACTGGTTAGGTAAGTAAGGTTAAGTCAGGTTATATTTGGTTTCATTAGTCCTGAATGTAGTGCACCTGACTTTTTTGGCATTAAATCAATTTTTTTTGGCAAATATGTTTTATGACAATAGGTATGGTGCAGTTTTTATTTAGTTTTGAGCCTAACTAAGGTGAAAGAGGGTGATATAGACCAAAAATGACAATACCAAAGGCCATCTAAGAGAAAATACTCTATAGATGGCCTTGACCGTACCTATCAAAGTACAGAAACACTGAAAAAAAATTGTACCAGGCCAAACCAAATCATCCAATAACAGCAAGTGTCAAGTGGATTTTTTTTTTTTGACAGGTGGATGGTTTAGCGGCTTTTCCATTTGCAGGATCAGCTAAAACAAGAAATGACGTTATCATATATTAACCCTCGCCCTGGCAGGGGGGGGGTCGATGCGACCCCCCCCCCTAAGGTTTTTCGAAGATAGCGTAAAAACGGCGGCGCGCAGCGCCGCCAAATTTGGCACAGCCTATGGGGCAACCTTTTTACATATGACCTGAAAATTTCAGGTCCGGGTGACCTTGGGTCAGGTCACCAGGTCAGAAAAACCGGTACAAGGTCATGGTCAAATTTCAATTTTCTTTTTGCACCTGTCCAACTCACAGTTTTGCACTGATTTCCTTCAAACTTTCAGGATGTGCTAAGTTCACCGAGTTGTATAACATATAGTTCGGGTTTTTTGAGGTCACTGACCTGAGGTCAGTTAGAGGTCATTACGTCGTAATGTTAAGCCTATGGGAAAATACTAAATTCGGAAAATACTGGAGATATCCGCTTCGTTTTATCACTTTTGTGCTTTGAAACCACAGTACTTAACAGCAGGTCACTTGGTGCTTCTTTGTTTGGTGTACTTATCCATGGGTCAGGTCAAATGAGGTCAACTGAGGTCAAATGACGTTTTTGCCAATAACTTGGCACATAATGACGCTAGAGCTTCAAAAATGGTATCATTGTGTTCCTGGTGATCAGCCGAATTGAATGATATGCAATATGATGCAATTTGGTCAACTTTAACTTAATTTATTAATTTAAGTTAACTTAAAATTTAAGAAAAACTTTAAGTACACTTAAGCAAGCTAAAAAGTATATCATTCGACGCGCCTTGACGTGCTGAGTTCACTGGTGCTTTTCTTTTTGCTCTATCTTAATTAGATCAAAAGTTATAAGCGAAAAACTTTTGACCTGTTTTTAGCGAAATTTTTACATTTATACCCCCCAAAACCCCCCTAAATATTGACCTAGAGCAACCAAATTTGCACAGGGGCGAGAACTCCATGGGGCCCACCCAGGGGCGGCGCCACGGGTTTTCGATAGGGGGGGACGGGGACCGAAAATCGAAAATCCCAAAAGTAGATACTGATCGTGTATGCAAAAAAAAAAAAAAAAACGAGGCACGTAACGCCGCGAAACTTTGCAAGGCCCAAAACACATCGAATGGTGCATCCCGTTTCCAAACTTATCCTAGGACACCTAAGATCGATCACCTTTTCAAGCATACTTGCCTCTAAATCAAAATTTGCAGTCTTGCCAACTCAAAGCTGGTTTCCTACAAGCTGCGAATTGCTTAGGTATGAGTAGCAGTGCCAGCTATTCTTACGTTTCGTACTTTCAAATTTTCAATCTTACGTCTGGTCAGCTTCAGGGCTTCACCATCATATAGTCATGGAGGAAAAGTGGGAATGTCTTCTGCTCTGACAAGTGCGCCAAAACTGCAATATAATTTCAGAATCATGACATCACCACCTGATCGATATGCAACGGGCAGGGTGCAGCTAATGGCTAGCCGTCAGTGGTCATGTCATCGGTGGTCACTCAAAAGGCCATGCTAGGTCATGGAAGGTCACCAGCCGTTATTTGATCACACTTTCTGATGGATTTTACTTGCCAAGAGCTTCGCGGGAAAAACGAGCGCATGCACCGTTGAAAAAATTGAGTGAAAGGGTCTCAGCAAGGCCCTAAATACAGGTCCGTCGACTAAATACGGGTCTCAGGTCCGGCGGCCTCTGCAGGTGAAATGCCCCAGGGTAGGATTCCGGTGCTTGTTGATTAACTTCGTCAAAAATGGCAGTAGAGCTGTGATCTCGGCACCACTGTGTTCTCATGATCGAGCTGGCACGACCTGCATCGTTCTCATATTCACTCTCCAATCGTAACAACTACAGCAGGGATTGGCAAATGGCGGGGCACCCCCTTTGGGAGGTAATGAAGGTCTCTGGAAACCTCATCCCACATCTCTTTAGCATTAGTGGCTCTCCTTATGGAACAGGTTTCTTGACTGGTCTGTTTCACCCCAGAATTCAAAGACTAGTCAAGGTAAAACCGAGCGCACCACAGTGAGCACAATTTGATAAGCTGGTGTATCTCAATTTTCATGTAGAACCTTTCACGTATCACGGACCTAAAACCCTTTCGTGCACTCATGCAAAAGCAACTGCCATGTTTCAACAGCTGGTAATGGCATTTTCACAGCCGCTGACTAAGAAGGGGAGGGATGGGGGCTCGATTAGACCCCCAGCCGTTCGGCCGCCGACCCAACTTAGTTTTGCAGAAAAAAAACGAGTGCTATCGAACCCCTTGACAGTTGACGAGAGGGAGCCGATGCTATATCCAATTATAAGGTCTTGGGCTACTGCGTGCTTTTTTGGTCCTGCCTGTGATCTATCCGAACACTTCTCCCCACAAGTGCTGGGGTTAAATGGCATAGATTTCAAATGGTTCCTGTGGTAGAACTGCCATGCTTGAATTTGACTAATTAGGAATGGAAAATTTTCATATAGTAACGGAAATCTATGGAATTTCAGTGAACTTGGTTTTATCGGCAATGGGGTCTGGCAGTGGGGTGGGGAGGTAATAAGTAATAACCCTGCCTGGCGCCCCAAAAAGGGGGCACGATCCCCGAGGCCCTGCCGATCACCTAATAACTACAGGCATCACAGCTCCACACCTTTTGCAGATGGCCAGGACCCCCTGCGATGCATCCCAACAGCTATCTTTATTCAGAACCTGCCTTGGTTAACCAACGATGCATTAAATGCGACGGATAGCTCTATAATGCATTATTATCAACTATTGAACGGGCCTCGCCGATAGGGGGGTACTGTACCCCCCTAACTTTCGATAGCGGGGGACCTGTCCCCCCCGTCCCCCGCGGTGGCGCCGCCCATGGGCCCACCTACCTACCAAATTTGGTGTTTCTAGGTGCCATAGGAGCCAATCGCGAGGGGGGGGTCGCATCGACCCCCCCCCCCCTGCCAGGCCGTGTTATGAAAAATGCCCTGCCAGGGCGAGGGTTAAAGCACTTTTTATTGAAAAAACATGAAATTTAATGGAATGAGTTGATCAACGATAAAAACAGAAAGGGTATGCAAGAAATAACAATTTTCAACACTAACACCGATCTAATAAGAGTGTATAATTTTCCGCTGTCATGGATACCTTCGATAATTTTTATGATTAGCCGGACGTTGAATAGGGTAACAAGTTAATCATTTATTAATGTTTATGGCGAGGTATGACGACATAAAAACCATTGCAATATGATATTGAAGCAAGGAAAATTTCGATCAAATTTGCAGTATTTCTTATTTTCATATTGAAATGCATTTACCAGAAAGAAATGAATGGCTAATAAACCGTAACGGAGCTCAACTCACAAAAAAACGTACTTTTGTGTCAAAACTAATGACGTAGGATAGCTGGTAAATTGAGTTGAAATGCAAGCTACTAAGCTTTCGTAAATCAGCAAAATAAAATAAAAATTTCCACAGGAGTGGGGAGCGTCGTTTGTTGGTCGTATATAGATTTGTTGGGTGAGAAATAAGAGTCGAGAAATATGTATCGATGGTTGCTGAGATAGCAAGGCGGTGTATATTTATGTACCATATAGCATTTAGCAGTAGCACAGTGTATATAAATAATTAAGATTAGGTCTGATACCTATGCCGATGAATGGAAATTTCAATGCCGCTAAAATAGGAAATTTGAAGTTCAAATCAAATGAAATCAATCAATGAAATAGTTTCCTTCACAACTCACAAGTTAATCGTGAATTCGTAAATCGTCGGTGCAGACCCAAGACCAATCTTCGGATGAAATTTGCATTTTGCATTCTGGGCTCAAATTGAATAAAAATCATGCAACTTTCACACAATTTGAATGTTTTGCATAAGAAGTTTGAGTTGTAAGCGTTGTCTATTGCTGCGTAGTGTCACTTTTAAGCTCAGAAGTCAGAAGGATGCATTCTTTCCTTTCATGTTTACATTTTGTGAATTCCTGCATTTCTTAGAGGGTGCTTAAAGGCTTGTGTAGCTAATCTTCATATTGATTTGGACAAATCTATGTATGGCTGTTCTTAACCAGGAAAAACTAAATAAAGATAATATAACCTAGCCTGACAGCTGACCTACCTTAGCATAAGGGTAAGGTTAGGTTAATGAGCTTGACCAGGGGTCTATTTGGTGCCCATATCGTGAATTTGGGACAGGTATAGGTGACCTGACAGGATTATTATACATGAATGGATGGGTCAGCAGGCTAGCTGGTCAGACTTTTGGTGGCCCAGTGTTGGTCTAGCTTTCTTATACATTTGGTCAAAATGAGGCTATGGTCTGTTAGGCTGTATTTGTCAAGATAAGGTCCGATCTACAATTGTGGCGCTGTTGATACGAATATGAAACAGCAGAAATTTTAGGTTGTAGGTTAGGTTAGGTTGTAGGTTTTAGGTTTTAGGTTGTAGGCTGGTTGGTAGGTTTGCAGGCTGTATGTTGTTAGGTTGTAGGTTTGTAGGCATGTAGGTAAGGTTAGGTCTGGTTTTATTATGTTTTTTACTTTTATTTGTGAGACATATACCTAAGTGTCATTTTTGGATTCAGGAAGTCAAGTAATTTAAGATGATAAAAAATATCATTGAAATCTTCCCAGGACTTTATCTTGACATTTACCTGTTAGGCTAGGTGAGGGTCGGTTAAATCAAGCTTTGTTTCCTTTCACTAAGTTTATTTATCCTGGTTCAGGATTCCTCAACCAGGATAAATAAACATGGCTTTCCTCAATGAGGAAAGCCATGCAAAGAATTGTTAGTCAATTACTTGCCCTGAAATTTTGTTTTCCCCTTATTTTAGTGTAAGCTGCAGCAATGGCCAATGGGAACATCAGTCTATTCTCTGAAGTCCAGACTGGTCTTCTGTCTGTAACTTGCATTTCAAATTTGATTTCTTCCAACAGATTATTGGCCTTCTGATCACAATCTGAACTGAACCCTCTAGATCTTGTTTCTGACAAATCTCACTTAGCAGTTGGCACTTAGCAATGATGTGGCATTGGCTGCAGTGCCCCCCTAGGGTAACTGGGATCCTAATGAGGGGTAACAGCTATTTGTGGACAAAGATTTGCACAGGTGTAGATTAATGCATACAAAGATGCTAAAGGTATAGGGGCATATCTGATTCTTTCACCCGACTTCTTTAGCCTAGGCCCTAGAGCACAAGAAAAACATGGATTTTGAATTGAACATGGGTGAATTATTACCAATATTCTCTCTGTGATGTGTTAAGTTTCATTAAACATCTCCCTCAAAATAGATGAACCAGGTGGAGACTGACAGATGCTGGGCACGAAACAAGCCTTGCTTCAACAGTACTCGTCTTTATAGTTATTTTTATGTTAGTCTCTTGGTTACGAAGATTACGTCCCTCTCAACTGCATTTCTGAGAATATCTAAGTACCACCTATAACTCTGCTGCCCTTGGCGCTGCTATTACAGGCTGATGCTCCTCAGTACACGGCCCATCCGGTGGCCAGTGGGCGCTGCACAGTGTGCCGGTCGGCTGTGGCGCGGCGCTCACCTCACCCTCTGCTCGCAGCCGCCGCCGACGGACGCCGCCCGCCGCCGCCGGCAGCTGAGGGAGGCGTTCGCCGAGCAGGAGCGGCTGCTGCTGACTCAGCTTCGCATCGAGGAGCTCTCGGAAGCCGAGCGGACCGCGCACGAGGCCCACCAGCGCGCCGTCGAGGCCGGACATTTCACCTACGACGACCCGGAGACGGGCCTGCGCGTGCTGACGCGGCTGCGGCACTTTCTGCGTGGCCAGTGCTGCGGCAACGCGTGTCGCCACTGCGTGTACGGCCACGAGGCTGTGCCGGAGTCGGTGCGAGCCCGGCGCCGCTTCAACTCTGCCTTCTGGGTGGACGCCCCGCCGCCGTCGGACGAACGCGATCGGGCACTGCCCTCGGACGATCCAGAGGACGTGGACTTCGTGTAGTGAATTCAGTGGCACCCTCAGGGGCTCAGGGTAGTGTGAGGTGACTGATAGTGTAGTGTACATTGGAGGATTATCTTATGTAGAGTCGGAAATGGTGTGAATGCTTAGAGTGCACAATAATGTGCATGAGTTGAAGTGAGAATATATAGTTTCTACAAAACAACAAAACAACTGGTGAGTGGTGAGTGATTTTAAACTTGCATTCATATCAATTGAGCTGTGACCTGTATGTATATAACGCACTTTCGCTTAGGATTTCAAATTGATTTAACTTGCTAAGTAACCATTCCTCGAGCAGATACCTGTGTACTGGAGCATTGGCAGACAGTTTGGGCGCGCCTGTGTGTATATTTTTTATTCACTTTCGTTCTGACTCTTCTTTGGCTCCTCTACCCGGACAATTTTTATATAGGTTTTCAAGACTAGTAACGATGCTGGTAGTGTGTTGTGCAAACTTATGCTCAGAAATGTTGTGTGTGTGTGTGTTTTTTTTTTTTTTTTAATTGTAACGACAACATGCCTGCGGTACTGCCGGCCAGCAACCCAGCAGGCTCGTCATGCCTTTCAGCCAGTTTATGCCGGCGATATCCAGATTCTCCTGGCTGCTCCTGTGACCACTGCCTCTGCCGCCTTTCAGCCACTATGCCGGCGCTTAACCCACTGTTGTGACTGTTGCTCTGACTGCCTCCCGTCTGTGCCGCCTTTCAGGCGCCAGTATGCCGTCGCTGTCGACCTCTGAGCAGTACCACAGGGCGGCAGTGCGCGTGGCCGTGGCGCAGCTTTGTCAGTCGCTCGGCTGGCAGAGCGCCTCCGGCACGGCGCTCGACGTGCTCGTGGACGTGATGAAGAACTATATCAGCGAGATGGCCAAGCTGACTGGCAGATACGCCAACCAGTGTGAGTACTGCACGCTCAGCGGGAATCAGGTGGGCGGTGGTAGCTTAGAGTGCCCGATGTCTTGATGAAACTCCAACACTTCTATTGCACTGCTGACAGCAGCTGTGTGCACTCAGCTTCCGTGTTTTTTGTAGGTACTGTTTGAAATGGTACTGAATCATATCCAGTTGCTGTATCTCCATTCTGCTTTATATTATCGGTATTTCATAAAGAGTGCATTATTTACATGTTGCCAAGATCTTTTTATTAAGTCAGGCACGTGGTGTAACTATATCATTTTTTTCGCCTGCACGTGCTGACGTCGCCACCTGCGCGCCTTTGCCGTCAGTTGACCGCACGCTGGCCAATCTGGACGACCTGGGCCTGGCGCTGCGCGACTTTGGCGTGCCCGTCCCGGAGCTGGAGGACTACCTGTCGTCGGTGGAGCCGCTGCCGTTTCCGCACCCGGTGCCGCAGCTGCCCGTGCCGCGCGCCACCAACCTCAGCTTCCTGAAGCCGGGCAGTCAGGAGATCGTGACGCGGCCCATTCACGTGTACGAGCACCTGCCGCCCATGCACCCGGACACGGCAGGTACGTACGGCGCCGGGGTCGTGCGCTGCTGGTGGACGTGATGTGGATGGACTCATCGTGTCTCTCGTAGGGATATCTTGCGAGCTACAGTAGAATGGATAGGAAGGGCAGATAAGTATCGGTGTTGGAGGCCGAGAGATATTTACGGTAGGCTCTGCTACTGGCTATGCTATAAGTCCTTTTCATTGCTTGTGACAACTGACAGTATGTCAACAAGCCGAGCTCATATTTCGTATTGTGTTCATGCGTTTTTTTTTTATTCTAAACGTGACGTATGACCGCCTTATCTAGTGTGGCTTTGTAGTGTAACCGTCATGTCAAATATACTAGGCATACTTTTCCTGTACTCGCCAGATGACGAGACCACCGACTCTCCGTCAGCGGACGCGGCTTCTTCCCGCGGCGCGGCCACCACCTCCAGTCCCGGCCTGAAGCGGCCCGGAGACTCGTTCGGCGCCGACGCCAAACGGGGACGGTGAGCAGCGGGTGCTGTTAGGGGTTTGATATCGATAACCCTCCGCCGGGCGGGTGGGTTTAATTGGTCATCATATTGGTCATCGTAGAAGAGTTGGGAATAGATTCGCGTTATGATGGCGTTGATCTGTGCTTAAACCATCAGGATACCATATCCTGGAGTGTGAAGTATTTGTACCTCTTTCTGCGGTGAAGGGAGGGTTGTGTCTGTTGCGTCTTCCTGTCCCGGTGGCAGACCTGTGACCCGTGCGCCCGTTCTGCGCCCTCAGCTACCTGCCCGAGGAGGAGGGGCGGCCGATGCGCGAGATCAGCAGCGTCATGATGACCACCTCCGGCTTCATCTCGCCGGCGCGCGAGGGAAAGCTGCCCGAGGCGCGGCTGCCCGACCCGCTGGACGACTGCGGCGACGACTACCGGCACATCAAGACGCGCCGACAGCGCGCCGACACCTACCGCCGGCTCTCCGAGCGAGAGAACGAGCGCCGCAACCGCGACCGCTGGCTGCGCGACGACGACCTCTTCGACATCATCGACGTCAAGGTGGAGGAGGAGGAGGGCAGCGCCGGCAGCAGCCCCGAGAAGCTGCCCACCGCCACGCAGGCAGCCAAGCTGAAGCCATTCAAGAAGCCCAAGACTGAGCCGGGCACCAGCCGGTCGGCTATCGAGCCGCCGCCGGCCGCGCTGCCGCCGCCGGCCGCGGTCGCCACCTCACCCAGGGTCAGACCCGACGCTGAAAAGGCAAAGCTGAAAAAGAAAAAGCCGAAGCCTGTCGATGTCAAGAGCAGCAAGCTGTCGATATTCAAGAAGAAGTTAGCGAAGAAGAAGCAGCAGGGACATCCATCAGAGAAGTCTGTGTCGACGACAGCTGGGTTGGCGCCGACGCCACCGCCCGCAGAGCCGTCTCCAGCGCCGGCTCCGGCGCCGGCCGCCGCTCCGCCGGCGAAGAAAAAGGTCAAGAAGAAGCTGCCGCCCATGCTGCCGGACGAGCCGCAGCTGTTCAGCTCGCCGTCCAAACCGGTGGGCGTGCCGGCCAAATCGACTGCCAAGGCCGAACGGCCGGCGGTCAAAGCGGCCGACAAGGCGGCGGCGAAGGGCGCAGAGCGCGCCCCGCCGCCCAAGTCTACCGAGCGGCCGTCAGCGAAGGCGGCTGCTAAGGCGGAGCGGCCGGGGGCGCGGCCCCGCTCGCCGTCGCCGCCGCTGGCCAGCACCAGCAGCCTGACGCCGCCGGGCACGCCGGGCACACCGCGCGCGCCCGAGCCGCGCCGCAAGCCGTCCGTGCTGAGCGCCAGTGACCAGTCGCCGCGCTCGGACGACTCGGGCACGCCGGACCGGCCGCGCACGCCCGAGCTGCCTGGCCGGCGCGGCGAGTCGCCGCCGCCGCCGGACCCGGCCGCGCTGCTCAACAACCCACTGATCCCGCGCTTCCCGTTCCCGTTCAGCGGCGGCGCCGGGCCCGAGGGCGTGCCGCCGCCGCCGTTCCCGGGCATGCCGGGACTGCGGCCGCCGGCGCTGTTCCGCGGCGCCGAGACTGCCGGCGCCGGTGCGGGTAAGGCGCGCGCCAAGTCGCCTGACGAGTGGCGCGACAAGCCGCGGCCGCTGGCGGCGCGTGCGCTGGACCCGCGCCGCTCGCCCTCCGATACCAGCGATATGACCCGCTCGCCGACACCCGACATCAGCGCCATGACGCCACTCAAGAGACTGGAACTAGCCGAGCGCGCTGAGAAGGTACGCCGTAAACGCATGATGCTCAAGTGGTCTTAGTATCAGCTTCAAGGAATGTTGCGTCAACTAATGAACTGTTCTGCAAAACAGTTTAAAATATGCATAAATCCTCAAATATCGTTTTGCTTAGTAGGCGTTATGCTCGCGATGTAGCCAAATGACTTGCTTAGTTCTTAGATGAGATTTGAAAGCAGCTTTTTCTGTGTGAGAAAATTGCTCACTTATGGCTATTCCCATGCTTGGCTTATACATTCAGTTCTAATATTGTAACTTGATGCCATTTTCCAATGCTAATCTGCCACTTGAACCTTTCAGAAAAAGGAGAAGGAGCACAAGAAAAACAAAAAGGACAAAAAAGATAAGAAGAAGAAAGACAAGAAGGATCGTGACAAAAAGGAGTTGAAGAGTGAAAAGAAGGAGAAGAAGAGAAAAGAGGAGAGAGAAAAGGCATTTGGGAAAGCACATGAGGTAAATGGTGTGCCTTTTTATGAATTTAGCTCGAATGTTTGAATGGACGGATTGACAGAGCCGGAGCCCACGCGAGCTTGTTGCGTGGATCCCGACCCCTACCGCCCAATCGCGCAATTCCGGGCAACGGGAGAATTTAGATGCCAAAGTTTAACGTGTCCTTCAAAGCCGGACACGGCCTGTCCCACTCAACCGACTTCAACTGGCTGCGGCTGCTCCCACCAACCGCAGACCATCCCCGTCAGGAGTCTCAAATATCGAGCGCCGTAGCGTCTCGAACCCGGGCTCTCACTACCGGGAGTCCGGTGCCCTACCGACTGAGCTACGGGACAGGGTTTTTGTTGCGGTGACTAAATATTTAGGTTCTGTAAACGTTAATGCGCAGATGCTGAATTGTATATTCATGTTGCCGTTCTTATTTTTGGAGCGCATAATGTGTTTTTACAGGGATGCATTTTGAACTGAACTTGCGTTTCGGTGAGCGCATGGACCATCGTGACCGGACCGTGCGCCGTTTTCCAGGGTGGCAGGGACGAGTCGGGCCCGAAGCTGACCCTGCGCCTCAATAGTCCGGACTCGACCGAGAGTCGCTCGCCGTCTCCGGAGCCGGCGCCGCCGCCCAAACTGTGAGTTAACCGGACACCACCTCAGGCGGACAGTGGTCACGGGGTGTCGGGCCCCGTACTGCCTAGTGGTCCCGCGTCCCAGCGCCGGTAGATTTGATGTACGCTTTACTGTCTTGTGGGTAGCTCGGTCTCGGATTGCCTGACAGAACGGCGAGATATGCGATCGGATGTTGGCAGAGAAAGGGATTTCTTATCCAGACTTGAATATATTTCTATCATGCTAATTAGCTTTCAAATAACCATTTTCAAGTACGACTGTCCAATGCCGGCCGCACCCCGGGCAGCTCCAGATTTGGTTGCCCTCGCTGTCCGGTAGTGACTGAAAGACACAGGCTACGCCATGTGTGGACCGCTCATGATCGTAAATGCATACATAGCTATAATCTATGGTACCATACATCATACATGCATACAAATGCGTACAGCTCCATCTATAATTTTATGCCATCTCATCTTTTTGTCATATCGTTCTTACTTCTGATCATTGTCTTTGCACTTCTGCGCCCCACAGGACGATCAAGCCGGTGCGAGAAACGCCTGAGCCGTCCACATCCAACGTCGGACGGCCCAAGAAGAAGATCGACAAAAAGAAGTCCGAAGAGCCGGCGCTGCTCAAACCGCCGAAGAAGGAGAAGGAGAAGAAGAAGTCGACGATGGGCAAAGCGAAGAAGGCGTTGGCGTCGCCCAAGGCGCCGCCGGCGGCCGTCATAGCCGAGACGGTCGGGTCGTTCCTGGTGAGTGGGAGTGGGACAAAGCACGGATGGGGACGGGGCAGTACACTGCAGCGAGCGCAGTGTACACTGAACACTACGCAATGACAGCTGACTGTCGGCGGTTCGCCGTTCATTGCAGTACAGACTGTTTTAATTGAACTTTACTTTGAACGGATAGGCCAGCTGGCACCAGGTAGTTACCATTTACCAAGACGTTCACTAACTGCCCACTCATGTGGAATGTTGAGCGCGAATGTTTTTATTTTATTCATAATTGCTCGTTTACAGCAAATTCGAAAAAAAGTAGCCACGTGTATTCCCCATGTAACAAATTCTGCATTTGCCCAATGACGCTTTCCGCGACCCGTGTGCACTGTGCAGTGTGAAATATTTGGCTGTAATCCTGTGTCTCTCGGCAACTGCAGGACAGCGAAGGCAACCGGATCTGGATCTGCCCCGAGTGCGGCCGGCAGGACGACGGGTCGCCTATGATCGGTTGCGATGGCTGCGACGACTGGTACCACTGGTGAGTACTGTTGGTGCCGCAACGTCTCGTCATGGGCCGACAAAAATGGCTAACGATTTAACGAACTGTTTTCGAAGGCTAGCGATTCAACGAACTGTTTTTTTTTTTTTGACAGCGTACCTGACTCCCTGTTGGAACGCATCTTCCCATGTTTGGTTTCTTGTCCGTTACATATAGAATGTTGGTTCGAAAGGTGGTTCAAATGTCGATGCTCAGTCTAACCCCTGCAGGGAGCACCGATGGTTCATTTTTGACGGCACGTCCTGTTTGGACATCTCATTTGTGCTGTTTCCGTTCTAACATGACATATGGACAACATCTAGTGTGTGTACTGTGTACCTCAATTACCGTGACATCCCTTCCCACATGAGAGTCAGCCGGCATTTGACGTGTGTCGTCTCCTTTCGCACAGGGTATGTGTCGGTATCCAAGTGCCACCCGGCGACGAAGACTGGTTTTGCCCACGGTGTATCACCAAGATGCAGAGCACCGTCAAACAAAAGGGCAAGGGCAGAGGAAAGAAGAAGTGAGAGCACGTCCTATCCCGTCACTGTACACATTAATTATATGCATCGCGGTGTGCCGCGCTACTGCCCCGTACCCCCGGCCGCGACGGAGAGGTAGACACGACTGCGGTGTCCCTGCTGCGCCGGCAGTGAGACAACTGACGGCAAACGGAAGCCCCTTCAGCGGTGTGTGTACGTTATACGTGCAAATATCACCTATGAGAGGATTATGCAGAAGAGGTCCCCAACATTGTCGATTGTATGTTTGTTAAATACAGGTTAGTAGTCAGATATTTGATTTTTTTATTCTCGCCACGATAGATTTACGCGCTGATGGGCAATACCGTAAGCTGACATGCTCAAAATAAAATGAGCTTGGTACGATTAGGAAGCGACGAACCGTGTAAGCGCAGCTCTCGTAGAACTACCCTACATAAGTACATATGGTGGATGTCACAGCATTCATTACACTATTCGCGAATCGCGAACCATTCATCTCGCACACAGGGGCGCACGATGTGGGAAGCCGACAATTCGACTGCAACACGTGACAATGAATGGTAGAAACACAAAGTGAAGTTTTCCAGTACCCATGAGACATCTTATTTGGTCCAGCTGACTTTGGGGATATCAAAGTGTTCTGTGAGGCTGTCCAGGTGCCTGTTGAAATCTTCCACTCTCTGCTTGTGTGTCTTTGATGCCTTCTCCATGATCCTCTTCAATTCCTAAAAATGCAGAATGGTGGTCAAAACAAGTCACCAAAAGTGTGTTTACTGGTGAACATTCTTTGTTTTCAACAACTGTGCAAAAAAAAAAAATGTAAGAGAGTAGTGACTCCTAATCTTTATCTCACCCCCAAATGCTCACAAATTGTCTAAAATGAAGTGGTAACATAGATTTTAGACACTCGCTTTGCTGGAAGTTAAACTCACATTTTTCTCCCTCTGTTTCTCAAAAGCTAGTTCTGCCTTTGTTTTGGTTTTCTGTTGTTTCTTTGACACCTCAGTACTGGCATCAACAGGGGCCTTGACCACTGTCTCTAGAATCTTGGTCTTGTCCTTCTTCTTCTTCTTTCTGAAAAAATATAACTTTTAGCAAGAACTTCCAATGTACGGCATTTGCTCACCAACACACTGGAAAACAGTCAACTTTATATGAAGGTGTTTATATGGGACAGGCAGCAGGAACATCGTTGAGAGACAGACACAGAATGAACACTTAAGTAGGTGTGTAGCTACTAGCTTCCTCCCAGGGGCTGCATCAATTTCAATAGGTCACTAAGCTGTACTTACTTTTTCAAAGACACGTCAGCAACACCTTTTAGTTTCAACCCACTCTTTCCCAGCATCTGGTATTCAGACATGACCTTGTTGTTCTCAGTTGACCTGTAGGTACTCTGCGGTCACCAGAATTCCAATGATTGGGCAAACTGGAGCAACCTAGAAATAAGAAAAATCAACAAATTGAAATAATTAAACAGTAACACACAATAAATCAAACAATGAACATACATGTCAAATCTGATGCATGTCATTCCTTTTACGAGATCCCAGTTCAACTCAACTGCAAAAGTCCAGCACCAAAAACATTTTGTTTTTTTCAGTTCCTTTTAAATACAAGCAAATGGTAACTACTCATTCCTGTTCCCATCAAAATAAAAAGGCTATACAAATGCTTCAAACTATGAAGCTCAAAGCCCAAAATTGAAACGATACATACCACTACCTCAACCTATGTGAATAAGGAATGGATACGAACATAATACGAACAAAGAGATTCTGATCCCTATCTCCGGTGAATACTTCTGAATCCTATAATATTAATTCAAGGTACTGAACCACTGTAATATTACTTGGATGTTGGATGTATAATACTTGGACGCTTCAGTGCCTTACCAAAGTGACAAAGATACAAATGATTGTGTAATAATATTGCGTCTTATTTACGGACACAATCCACCTACCCAACCCGGACCTACTAAAATGTTCTATAAGGCACCGTGAACATGCTGTTAGCAAAAATACACAAATCAAAGACCTATGGTCTCGAGTATGAACTGAAAAACTATTTATTGAACAGCATTGGTTAATCAATTTTGCTTAAAATATTGCGTTTATATAAAAATACTTAAATATTTTGCTGTATCAAAAGTGATGATTTCATTTAAAATATGTTCGCATCTAGCATGTTCAATTTTTATTGTTATTAGTACGGAAATTAAATATTAAATAACGAAAATTCTATATTTTCTTGCCAAAAAAGCTTTGTGACGTCATGTAACTTAACAAATTTTATTGAATGCCTCAACTGCGCATTTTATGCATTTAAGTTACGACCTTCATTTTTGACAACATTTCATTTTCAATTGCTGCAGTGCGGAGACTGGGCGGTTGTCGTATTCGTGATTATTCGCGTATTGAAATAAATAAATGATATCTTATTCATGGATCTCATATATTCAGTTGGAACTACTCCAATTAGTTCTCGCAAGAGCAAGAATGCAGCAAATGTTGAAAGGTAACTATCAATAAAGCAGCTCCTGTTGTTGAGTGTTGCATATTTTTTATTGCTATGACTTGTTGTGAGTTTGACACTTGATCCGAGGGCTGTTCACTAGGGGTACCCATTTTTGGGTCAATTTTCCAAATTTTAGGTGGGGGTGGATTTTCCCATTATTTGGTCTATTCTGATTCCACCTGTGCCAAAAATACCGAAATCAAACGATTTCTAGGGGTCGCGAATTCAAAATGAAAATGCCAATTTTAGCGAAAAATAGACAAAAATAATGCTATTTAATTTTGAAACAAGATTACCATGCCAACAGGTTGGGGTCAATTTTCCCATTATTTGGCCTATTCTGATTCCATCTGTGCCAAAAATAACGAAGCCAAACGATTTTTGGGGGTCACGAATTCAAAATGAACATGTTAATTTTAGCAGAAAATAGACCGAATTAACATTGTCTTATGTTGGGACAAGGTTACCATGCCAACAGGTTGGGATCGATTTCATCATTATTTGCTCTGTTCTGGATCTATAGCAGTGACAGAAATAATGATATTAGACCACTTTTATGGGTCGCAAGCTTGCATTGGAGTTTTAATTTTAGTGGAAAATGATTTTATTTGAACGACTATAAATATGCAAAGCCAATGTGTTGCAGTGGTATTAATGACTGTTAAGACACCGTGCAACATTGCTTTAGTTGTATATTCGACGTGCAGCGGTAAAAGAGAGCACCAAAAATATCATTTTGGTCAATGAACAGCATATGCTCATTTACACTCACTCTGGCTTAGACCGTCATTAGTAGCTAAAGACCGCAACTCTTAGAACGAATGGCTATGTAGTCAGGAGGGCCAAAATCAGCGATCGAAGCTTTCTCATTGGGACCACCTAATTTTCAATGAGTCGTCTCATTCAGCAAAGGCAATGGCCGATCCCCAGGACATGAACATTGACCTATCGATACAATCTGGATTTGAGTGGCATTAAAAACCGTTACGGTATGTGACGATATAACTCGCATGCCGTATTTTAACGGAAATATGGCATGAAGTAGATAAACAAGTTATCAATTGCTTCTGTATATCTATACCGACATAAAAGCAGCACTAAGCTATGCCGGTATGCACGTCTGATGACCTTTGCCAATTCGCTAGCCGAACTCCCCGAGTCCCGGAGTTGCAGAGACAGCTGAGGGAGGGGCGCAAGCTTCACACCACCGTCGGGTGGCTGCTGTATGAGTGTAGCTTTGCCCCTGCCCCAAAAACACCCAAACCCGCACACAGCATGTGCGTTTGTGCATATGGAAAGGAAGCTGGCCAAGCACACCAAGGACGGTAACACCGAAACTCCATCCTCACCCCATTATGAAAGAAATATGGTTGCAATTTTGCTGATGACGGACAGCACTGGCCTGGCCGAACGCGTGCACGACTGCTCGTGACTCCAGTTCTGGGCATGTGCCACTCCTATACCAGCTGATGACTTGAGACGGGTGCAGATATCATGTTATGGAACCATGGTGCCTGGTGACGGCCGCTGCCAGCAGTATCCTTGCAAGATAACGGACCTTACACTGCACACTGCACTCTACAGGCTCAGTCCAAGCCCTCAGCTGATGCTGAACTGAAGTCGACGAATGTCATTGCTTAAAGCTGAAAATTAGGAAGGTGCCAAAGTCTAGACGGCTCAGCCAACTCCGAGGCAGAACCGTTTACTGACTCCTGGCATTGGCACGCACACTCCCTTATATGATGCGTCCTGGTATGTACCACCATACGGCCCATGCAGGATGAAAATATCCTACTACATTAGGTTCTTCAGACTCAGACGCTAAATAGGTACCTGAGATCACAAGTGATCTGTGCAAGAAGCTGTGAAAGGTCTTCGTCACATATCAACCATGCACGTATCAGCGCATGGCTAGTCGCGTGTGGTCGAATATGAACTCGTAAATGATCTGCAGTTGTATCGGAAACTCTTCCACAAGAACGGTGTGTATCTGTCTCCACTGAAGAAATGGAATAGTACGTACATGGTGGGCGTGGAAAGAATCGACGCTTTGAAGTTTATGTTTTCGGATTAGAAGTTGATATTTTTTGGTAGAACACCCAGATTTATCCTACTCTGTCTCAGAGGTCTATTACATCGTAGCCGTGAGCGATCAGGACTGCGTTTCTTGTGGAAGCATACGGTCAAAATGGTTTGATCGTTTTCTAATTACATGATTTGAAGTCTATTCGGAGCCATGATCTGTGAGATGTATCCTGAGCTTATTTGCACGGACACAAAGAGCCTGTCATGAACTGAGAGTGGCAACTGAAAGGTCACATTTTAATTTGACGTCACAGGTCATCAAAGGTCACCATTACAACTCATGACCTTCAAGAGGCAGAAGATATCAAAAATGATTACACGCTGACCAGAATGATACCAACAACAGGAGCAAAACATCCCGGGCCGGGATGTTTGCTCCTGTTGTTGGTCACCGGGATTCCCGGTTTCACCAAATGTTACAATATCGACATCGTAATGATCGCTATTATAGTAAAGCATTTAACCGGAACCACGTGATGGAGCACATCGATCTGGATGAAAAAGGAGCGCTCAATGACCCCTCAACCCGACTTTCAAAACAAAAACTTTGCCTTTAGTGTGATTTATTATCAGCGTAAAATAGGCATATTTCTAGGTAAATACGCAAATTTCAATCTCAATTCGCGACCCCTAAACCACCTTTGATTTCAATATTTTTGGCATCATTGGAATCACAAGCCGCGAAATAATGGGAAAAACCACCCCCACCCACAAATTTCCAAAATCGGGAAAAATGGGTACCCCTACTGTTCACGGGCCCTGTGTGCGGTCGGACCGCACACAGCCTCCAAGCTCCGCCCACTGCGTCCCTACCTACCCTATGTCAGCCTTCCGTCACCGCACACAGCAATCGTTGTGGCCGGTCGGGACTGGCCACAGCGGACCGTCCACCGCACGTAGCCGTGACGTCAGAATCGCCTACCCATCCCCTACCCCCACGCCTGCTGCACACATCGCACACACCGCACGCAGCAGTGTGCGGTGCCCGTGAACACCCCTCTGGATCACCATCACCATAGGCCTGCTCCACACTCGGCAGAATATTCGGTAAATGTCAAGTTTAAGTCCTAAGAAGATTTCATTGATTAATTTTACATATTTATACATTATTTGACATCCTGAATCCAAAAATGATACTCATATGTCTCGCAAATAAAAGAAAAAAACATAATCAAACCTGACCTAACCTTACCTACTTACCTATAACCTACCAACCTACAACCTACAAACCTACCCTAACCTAACCTAACCTACAAACCTACCTACCTACAACCTAAAACCTACAAACCTACAACCTAACCTAACCTAAAACCTAAAATTTTTGCTGTTTCATATTCGTATCAACAGCGTCACAATTGTAGTTACGTCTGTCAAACTAGCAGCGAGCAGCGAGCAGCGAGTCCAGCAGCGAGAAACGGGCCATCCCGATTTAGCTGAAATTTGGCTCACAGAGCCTTCTCAGCACGCTGATTCCGAAAATCATGGTCTCTAGGGTGGAAATATTGACCGTTCTCGAGATAGAACCCTCTAAAATTCTTACCACCCATGACCGGGCCATCCCGATTTGGCTGAAAATTGGCTCACAGAGCCTTCTCAGCACGCTGATTCCGAAAATCATGGTCTCTAGGGTGGAAATATTGACCGTTCTCGAGATAGAACCCTCTAAAGTTCTTACCACCCGTGACCGGGCCATCCCGATTTGGCTGAAAATTGGCTCACAGAGCCTTCTCAGCACGCTGATTCCGAAAATCATGGTCTCTAGGGTGGAAATATTGACCGTTCTCGAGATAGAACCCTCTAAAGTTCTTACCACCCATGACCGGGCCATCCCGATTTGGCTAAAAATTGGCTCACAGAGCCGTCTCAGCACGCTGATTCCGAAAATCATGGTCTCTAGGGTGGAAATATTGACCGTTCTCGAGATAGAACCCTCGCAGCGTGTCCAGCAGCGAGAAACGGGCCATCCCGATTTAGCTGAAATTTGGCTCACAGAGCCTTCTCAGCACACTGATTCCGAAAATCATGGTCTCTAGGGTGGAAATATTGACCGTTCTCGAGATAGAACCCTCTAAAGTTCTTACCACCCATGACCGGGCCATCCCGATTTGGCTGAAAATTGGCTCACAGAGCCTTCTCAGCACGCTGATTTCGAAAATCATGGTCTCTAGGGTGGAAATATTGACCGTTCTCGAGATAGAACCCTCTAAAGTTCTTACCATCCATGACCGGGCCATCCCGATTTGGCTGAAAATTGGCTCACAGAGCCTTCTCAGCACGCTGATTCCGAAAATCATGGTCTCTAGGGTGGAAATATTGACCGTTCTCGAGATAGAACCCTCTAAAGTTCTTACCATCCATGACCGGGCCATCCCGATTTGGCTGAAAATTGGCTCACAGAGCCTTCTCAGCACGCTGATTCCGAAAATCATGGTCTCTAGGGTGGAAATATTGACCGTTCTCGAGATAGAACCCTCTAAAATTCTTACCACCCATGACCGGGCCATCCCGATTTAGCTGAAAATTGGCTCACAGAGCCTTCTCAGCACGCTGATTCCGAAAATCATGGTCACTAGGGTGGAAATATTGACCGTTCTCGAGATAGAACCCTCTAAAGTTCTTACCACCCGTGACCGGGCCATCCCGATTTGGCTGAAAATTGGCTCACAGAGCCTTCTCAGCACGCTGATTCCGAAAATCATGGTCTCTAGGGTGGAAATATTGACCGTTCTCGAGATAGAACCCTCTAAAGTTCTTACCACCCATGACCGGGCCATCCCGATTTGGCTGAAAATTGGCTCACAGAGCCGTCTCAGCACGCTGATTCCGAAAATCATGGTCTCTAGGGTGGAAATATTGACCGTTCTCGAGATAGAACCCTCGCAGCGTGTCCAGCAGCGAGAAACGGGCCATCCCGA